ATATTAAAGGAATGCACAACTATGTTAATTGAAGCATGATTTACAATAGCCAAGATATGGAGGCAACCTAAGTGTGCATCAGTGGATGAATGGATAAAGAAGATGCAGTATAAATATAACATAGAATACTACTCAGCCATGAAAAAGAATGAAATTTTGCCACTTGCCCCAACATAGATAAATCTAGAGGGTATTATGCTAACTTAAATAAGTCAGACAGAGGAAGATAAATACTGCATGATCTCACTTATACGTGGAATCTAGAAAACAAACCAATCAAACCAAAATGAAAACAGACCCACAGATGCAGAGAGTGAATTGGGTAGGTTGCCTGAGAGGAGGAGGGTGGGGCAGGGAGGGGCAAAATAGGTGAAGGGGATTAAAAGGTACAACCTTTCAGTTACAAACTAAATAAGACACAAGGATCTAATATACAGTATAAGGAATAAGGTCAATAATGACTTGGTATGGGGACAGATGGTTACTAGACTTATTGTGGTGGCCATTTTATAATGCAGGCAGATGTCAAATCACTGTGTAGTACACCTGAAACTGACATAATGGCGTACGTCAACTCTATTTCAAATAAAAAGAAAGAGGATATTAAAGGATACAAATAAATGTCCAGATGAAGAGGCACCCAAGGTGAGGTGTGAGGAAAGGGCACAGAGCTTCCATGCCCTTTCCAGCCAGGAATGCCACTCTCTCCACTTTCCACGTGTTCACCAACTCAGGTCTCTGTACCCTGTCTTTTCGGGGGTTTTATGGAGTTTCCATTACTTAGGCATGGCTGATTAAATCATTGGCCTTTGGTTCGGCTTCCAGCCCCTCTCCCTCTCCAGTGGTCAGGTGCTGAGACTGAAAGTTCCCGCCCTCTAATCACATAGCTGGTTCTCCCGGCAACAAACCCCCACTTTTGGGTAGGATCCAAAACTCACCTTCCCTGAAGCAGTTTCAGGAACTGAGGACAAGGGATCAGATATTATCTGACTACTCATCTCTCAGGAAATTCCAAGGGTTTGGGGAGCTGTAAGCCAGAAACTATAAATGAAGACCAAATGTATATAGGAAATATAGATTTGGTCATTCAGATTCACGAAATATCTATTTTTCCTATAAATTACAATATTGCACATGCAATGACTGTGACAAAACCTACGTGCCCGCTCTCTCCTGCCAGCACCTGGACAATTGAGATTCGTTCCTGGGTGGCAGTTTCAGAAGGACTAGACTCTGTCCCTGTTCTTCAGAGCGCCTTGTCATTGAGAGTCACCGTCAGCTCTGCTCTCTCAGGTTAGTTAGTCTTGAGTGTGAGAGAAGCAGGGCGAGGGTTTCCCAGGGAGGCTGGCCCAGCACCGGTCACCACAGTCCAAGGAGCAGAAGCGTCGCTTGGCTCTGTCTCACAGCTCTTGGTCTCTTTCGGTTTCTGACTCCTGAGTAAAGTCCTCCAAACCTGGCCTCTTCTCACCCGGACCTTTGTTTCCTTGTACTGAGAAGGGGAAATTAGATCATTTAACTTAAAAAGAAAAAAAAATTCTCTCTCATCCTCCAGTTCTTAGAGTCACATCTGGGAACCAGAGTGAGGACAGTGAGGCATTCACAGGGGGTGCATAATTTAAGGGGATGCCAAAAAGCTCTGCAATGAAAATATTTTAACACAATATTTTAAAAATCAAAATTAATGTAAAAAATCAATGATTTTCAAAAGTATCAAAAGTTTAAGTAAAGATAGGATCAGCATGACTGATTTTTTTTTTCCCTTTTGCCTAGGACTCCAAAAAAGTGTGGCAGGGCACTATTGCTTATCTTATCTGAATGAATCTGCTGAGCCAGAGTTTCTGGGGTGAACCCCAGGAATCTGCATTTTACTAAGCTTTCAAGGTGATATGTAAGTATGCTGAAGTTTGTGGAGCACAGAAAAGGTGTTCTGATGACCTCTGAAGTTACGTTTCACTTTGGTAACTTTCCAGTGACATAGTCATTGGTTATATGAGAGGATCTTTGTCTAAATATTAAACAATAAAATAGTTATTTTATGCCAAGGACCAATAGACACACACACACAGCCCCAAAATGGTCAGCTGAGGGAGCACAACTTTAACTCTAAATACATTTTATATAAAATTTTGCCTCAAAGCAGCTAACATTGTAACAAGTCTCTGATGCAATGATTTGCCTTTATACTGACTGTTGATCGGTCAACGCATTGCACACCCAACAGTCCAAAGGCACTGGGAGCCAAACGGTCCAATTGTAAAGATGTAGCAAGTCAACCTTCCTACCTGGGGAACAACCAATATACCTACTGATGGATCTCAACTCCAGGCCCAGCTCTTGCTATCAGAGGCACCAATGCTTTTACAGCCCTTGATCTACCACGGATTATGAACTTTTTTCCTATGGATATTTATGCTTTGCCAGGGGTTTTGTGTCATACCACCCAGATCTCCTTTTATGATCTGAAGGATTCACTCCCCCCAGCTGTTGGGGATTGCTTGTCTGACACCCTTCAGCTGTTAACTTCTTTGAGAACTGCTACGGCAGAAGAGAGCCACCCTCACCCAGGGTCACACGCCCTGCCAGGAGCAGCCTGCCTCCCATGACTGGCTAACACAGCGGTAGAAGCCCTGGCTCCCTCGCCCCAGTTCAGGACAACTCCCAGAGGTCAGCCCAGCTTCAGAACTCCTAGCAGGGTCAGCTGAGGTCTTCTCCATCTTCCCAGCCCTGTTTATCTCTTCTCCCACTACAGTTTTTGATCCTAAGAGCACTCCCTAATAAATTTCCTACATGCAAATCTCCACCTGGGAGTCTGGTTTCCGGGGAACTGAGCTGCTCCACCTACAGACCTTACCAACACCTTGTCAATTAGAGGTTGAACACTTTACATATGAAGAAAGAAGCCCCACAAGGGAACAAAAGTGATTCAACTAGTTAGTTATGCTAATCATTGACACCAGAATTACTGACCCCCTTCACTGGGACGTTGATAAAGACATCCCACCATTTTTTAGAATCTCACTCTCAAGGCTACCGCATCCATACGTTTATCCCAGACAACTTTTTAGGTTTTACGAATGCCTTATGAGCTCAAGGTTCAAAAGACCAAAGAGGATTTTAAATGAAATCCATCTGAATTTAGAGGATCTTTCAGATTCAGCTTCATGGTGCTCAGAACTACATTTATAATCTCCCTTTACAGTTTGACGATCAAAGTAGAAATCAGGACGATGACTGAGGAAGAGCAGAAATATAAGCCATCCACTTATTTGCAACCTGAATTAAGTTTGAGCCGAGATGTATTCAGTTCAAGCAGCCTTTTTCTGGCTCTTTCTATGAAAAGTCCTTGCTGTGGTTGCTGGCACTGTTCTTACTTGGAAGGCTAAAAGGAGCCCAGAGGTGGTGACTCGGAAAAAGAAGGGTCTGGGTCAGAAGTAGGGTTCATCCAGCCTAGCACAAGACGGCACAGGTAGGTCAGAGAGCCAGAGTCACCATCAGGAATCGCTGAGCCAGAGCAGTGCCAGGTGTCAATCGAAGGGCGAGACAAGGAAGAAGACAGGAGAACAAAGAGCAGGCTGATCCTTAAGAAAATAACACACCAAACAGAATCAAGTGTCTGGCACAACTGAAGGCACATGGCTCAGAACTCAGCAGGTGCCAGAACTTCCTTTCTCAGGCTGCCTTGTGCAGATAGCAGGGATCACTGAGGCAACTTCCTCTGCGCCCTGGACGACCTCTCAGCCTCTCCCTGCACCCATCTCCTCAGTGTCTCACCCATTAAAAATGACAGTGGGGACTGGCAGGTGGAGACTGTGATGGGAAAGAGAGGGTCACAAGTCCCCTTAAATGTTGAAACCTAACCATACATGCGTTCATTCTCCATGCATATTTCTCCACACCCAAAGGAGCAACGGCTCTCCCACATGCCACATTCTAGGACAGCCTGTGATCACATAACAACAGAACTCTCTTAAGTGCAATGTACAAGAGAACAGGTTGTGGGGGAAAAATATCATTGTTTTCCCTTCCGCTGATGAGGTGGAATCATCATGACAGGCAGCTCTGCACAAAAATCTTGTTTTACGAGCTTATGTGTATGTGTATGTGTGTGTGTGTATATATATATATATATATATATATATATATATACACATACATGACTGGGACATTATGCTATACACCAGAAATTGACACATTGTAACTGACTGTACGTCAATTAAAAAAAAACAAACCTGTTTTAGCCTATATGGGACTGACAGGTTGGGGAAAATGGAAAGCTGAATTCCCTCAGTCAGGATTACCCTCTTTCGTAGTGTCCTTGATGAGATCATGGCTGGAGAAGCAGGAGTGTGACTTACCCAGACTGTGAGACACCGTCAACCAAAGTTGGTGACTAATAATTGAGCTGTAGGTTAGTTTGCTGTTGTTATTATTACTGCTTTTAAACTGTGTCAGGTTAGGAAAGGTACTTCTAGTCCTAATTTCGAGATAGCCCAGATATCTTAAAGTGTAACTAAATATACTCAAAATAAAATTGTTCTTACTTCTCTTTAGCTTAAAAATACCTCCATTGGCTACATGAGAGTTTTAGAAAGAAAGTCATGTTTGGCCTGGAGAATACACCCAAAATATGCCAGGATCTGCAGTGCCTTCCACATTTCTCCCCCTATCATTCTGGTTTGCCAAAAGATTAGGAATCACTCGGCTAAGGGTTCCAAAGTTGGAGTTGAGCCCGCTCCCAACTGACAGCCATAAAGCAAACATTCTATCATACCCCATCTAAAGAAAAGATAAAGATGAACCAAAAAATATTTGCTAACATGCTCTGTGACCTCAAGCAAAGCTGCGCCCTCTCTGGGCCTTGGTGTTCCAACTTAAATGCAGAAGACCATGGTCTCTAACACTCAGCCCCAAAAATGATGTGACCAGACACATGCCAGGCCCCACCCCTAGCTACCTGGAGATTTTACTATACATGAGTCTTGGCTCCTCCCAGCTCCTCCTTCCCTTTTGGTCCCTCGATAAAACAGCTTCTCCTCTAATGCCTTTTGCACTGGAAGCAGCACCTCCTGATCCGGCCAGAAGCAGCTCTCCCCAGCATGAGAACTGCCACCCTCCTCGCGGCCCCGGCAGCGAGCCTTCGCCTCAGCCTCCTGCTTCTGCTTTCCTTCTGCCCAGACCGAGGTGTGCGAGCCAAGGAGCTGAGGTTTGTGACATTGGTGAGTAAGGAGACTTTTCTCATGGCTTTTCCCTTACAACTGTTACCAGCAGGGTCTGAAAACCAGGAGTCAGGTTTCATTTTAACTGAGAGTTGTCTCCGGGAGACCAAACTCTGAAAGTGAATAAGCAAGTTTTGCAAGGTCCTCCTAATGAAGACTGAGCATGTCCTGACAGAAGCGTGTTTGGTTTGGTTGCTTTTAACTTTGCCGGTGTTCTTTCTTTATCTATTCGCTTACTTTACGACTGCCTTGGATGCAGATTCCTTTTGACAGCTACACAACGCCAGGAGAAACCTCTTCTGGCGCTGTTCAGAACCAGAAGCCAAACTGGCTTCATTCAGTCTAATGATTCTCTCTTGACAAGCCAAAAACCTGTCATTTTCTGAAGTAGCCCCTTCCCTTTTTGTTTATCAGGAAATTAGAAAATACATTTATAAATAATCTTTGAAGCATAAAAGTGAAACTAAAGAGTTCTAGGGTCACTTCCTGATACATAGATTTGGTTGACCATTAAAATCATGCTTTTGAGGGGGGCAGTATAGCTCAGGGGTAGAGCACATGCTTAGCATTACAAGGTCCTGGGTTCAATCCCCAGTTCCTCCATTTAAAAAAAAATTCTTTTTAATCTTAAAAAAAAAAAAGTAAAATCATGTTTTTCCCCACCCATGGTATGTGTGACATGTTAGGAAAGGGGGCTGGGGTGGCTAATGCGGGCTGTCAAGGAAAGAAAACATACTGTTGGCATTGTTTTAAAAAATGGACAGGAGGACAGTTTGCAAAGTAAAGGGGATTTACCACTTTAATCTGAGTCCTGGAATTAATTAACCTCTTTTTGTCTCTTGGTTTCTGTCTTGGTCTTTGATTCTCTGTTTCTCTATTTCTCTTTTCTCTGTTCCACTCACTGTCTCCCTCTGCCTCTGACCCTCTCCTTGTCTTTCACAGCTCTCTCAATCTCCTTCTCTTCATCACGTTTTTTATTTGATAGAGTGAAAGTATTCTGATAAATAAGTAAATTGTCTTTCTGAAAGCATATCCAAATTTTATTTTTATGATTTTGAGGGAGGTCATCTTTTACTTAAAAATTAAACATGAAGTTTCTATTTTCTCAGCTTGCTATGTTCAGAACTTCTTTCTTTCCCTTCTACAGAAAAATTTCATATGTTTATGCAATTTCATATGTTTAGTTCAATGAAACTTTATTAGGTCATGAGTCAACAATGAGAGAGAGAGAAAACTAGAGAAATAGATCATCAATTTATTTACAAATGATTCACCCACTGTCAGGCTTCTGTGTTGAAAAAAAAAACTATAATATTGTGTAATTTATATAGAGAAATCTATGTGAGTTAGACTGATACCCACATGTGCATTAAGCAAGTGCAGGGACTCTGCAGAAATTGCACTGCCAACAATGTGACAAATTCAGGGACCACAAGTTAATTCTTCCCTAAGAAAAACTGTACAAAGGCCACTCTCTAGGAGCTAAAAAAATTCACATTTACCATACAAAGCCAATGTTAACCATTTTTTCCTACCATAGCTTCCTTCCGTTAATAGTAGATGGAGGACAACTTAATTCATCTTTCTTGGCCCTTACAAAACCACCTCTATCTAAGGACTCAAGTCAGAAGATATTTCTGTCTTCTTTTTACTGATTATAGAAAATATCTGGCTATAAATGGTTCAGTAATATACCCAGGGAATTCCCCAGGAAGTTATTATGAGAACCAGAATAGAAGGAAAGTGCCTCTGGTAAAAGTGGTCACATTAATGGCAATAACCAGGGGTTCACACTTACTCTGTACTAGGCACCGCTCTGAGGTTTTAACATGGATTGTGCTATATTACCCTCCCAACGACCCTATAAAATAGGGTTACTAGAAAGCACAAGATGCCCAGTTAAATTTGAATTTCAGATAAACAGCAAATAAGTTTTCAGCACACATATGTTCCCATGAAATATTTAGGCATCCTGCAGTTTTGCTTGCTAAATCTGGCAATCGTCCTATATGGCTTTTGTAAAACCCTTACTAAGGCTATTCACCCTGTTTTATAGATGTAAAAGCTTTATTAACCCTGTTTCATAAATGAAGGAATGGAGACACAAAGATATTTAGCAACTTACTCATGGCCACACAGCTAGGATTTGAATCCAGGCTGTATAATTCCAGAAGCTACGCCCTTAATCACTAGACATACTCTGTTCCTGCTGTGTGTGTATAAAACCCACCACAAGGAGCTGAGATCTCTCCATCCAGGACCAGCCGATTGGCTTCACTCACAATCAGCAGGTGGCTTCTTTCCTTGCTTTTCCACTGTGATCCAAGAAAAATAAATCTTCCCCAATTCTCGAAAATCGCCCTTGGCCGAAAGAGCAGGAAGCTGTCGTGTTCTTGTTCTCTCTCATGAACAGAGTCACCATATGCTCTTTTAAAAGAGATTCACCACTGTGCGTCCCGTGGAATGCTAGTGCAACATGTCGTTAACAGGTGTTGCTTGATGTTTAAAGATAGGTTTCAACAGTCAACTCAGCTTTGGGAAGAAGACGTGGGTTAAACTGTGTTTAAGGGGAGGGAATAGCTCAAGTGGTAGAGTGCATGCTTAGCATGAACAAGGTCCTGGGTTCAATCACCAGTATCTCCATTAAGATAACTAAATAAATAACATAAACCTAATTACCCTTCCCAAAATTAAAAAAAAAAAAAGAGTTCTAAACTGTGTTTAAAGGTCTCAAATACAGGACTTTTCAAGTTCTTTAATATTCTAATATGCACCATGCCTTTCAGAGAAAGGATCTCATAAATTGTATTTCCTAAATTTTGACTGTGAAATCCACCTCCTCTGTTTTTCCAGAAAATTTCATAGAAAACCCTTAAAAAATTGCTATTTTTGAATATACAGAGAGAATAATAACTGTGGTGAGACCCAGTGTACCCATCAACCAGCCTCAATAATTATTACTCATAGCTAGTCTTGTTTCATCTATGTGCCCACACATTCCTAATGGACTTCTTAGAAGTAATCCCACACATCATTATTCCATCCATAAACAGGGAAATGCTGTTTTAAAGCTCTTCTCTCTTCCCTAAGCCAGGGGAAATCTACAAGTTCAGGTGATCTCAAAGACAAAAAAATTCCTTCTCATTCCACCTGAGCTTTACAAAGAGAGGGATGGTAAGTTAAAGGTAGACGCGCTTCTCATTCTTCATGGTTAACCATGCAAAATTTTCACTCAAGTCAACAGAACTTTCTTGATGCAAATGTCCTCCAAATCTTAACATCATCTCCCCACTGGGATGGGTCACTCCCATATTGTGGTTAGGTAAATTCAAATGATGCTGGCCTTCACACATTTCCAGGGACAGTAGACTTTCAGGGTTCTCCCTCAGTCCTCCTAGGAAAGCAAAAAATTGGCAAGTTAATGCTTAGGCTGACAGCCCAACATTGCTATCAATTTTCTAAGGCTATGTACTAAAGTAAAAGTTGAGAGCTATGCCTAGGAAAACATTGAACTTCCATTAATTCAAATTCTAGCATCATTTACCAGGTATGGGATCAAGAACAAGGCACTTAATCCTGTTGAGTCTCAAATTCCCCGAACTTAAAGTTGGGAATAATGATCACAACTATAATTTCTATCTCACAGAGTTGTATGAGCTCTGAATCACATGGGAAGTATGAACCATGATATAATTATAAGGGGTTGCTGTTAATCATCAGTCTGAAACACAAGCTTTCCAGCTTTTTAGATAAAGTCTAGATGACCCTTAATTATTCCTTTTTTTTCTTTTAACTTGTGGTAAAACACACAACAAAAAATTTTCCATCTTCACCACTTTAAGTGTACATTTCAGTGGCCTCAGGTGTATTCACATTGTTGTGCTACCATTAAAACCATCCATCTCCAGAATTCTCTTCACCTTGCAAAACTGAAACTTTGTATTCATTTAGCAGTAACTCCTCATCCTCCCCATCCCCGGCCCCTACAACCACCATTCTGCTTCCTGACTCTATGAATCCGACTACTCCACGTAACTCGCAGAAGTGGAACCATACAGTTCTTGTCTTGCTGTGATGGCTTATTTCACCTCACACATTGTCCTTAAGGTTCTAGAGGACCTTTCACTATTTTTCAGCAAAGAAAATATAAGGTATTACACAGTTATGTCTGCTAGAACCTTAGGCTAACAGCTTAACTTGCTTGCACTCGAGTCTTCCCCACCTATGAATTCTGACTTCTTTTCTCTTGGGGGAGACACATCTGGGTGTAAATATGGCTTGAGGGTGGGGCGGGGGAGGAGCTGGAGGGGCAAACTGAGAGGAAATACTACCACAGTTCAGGAAAAATATAGTGAAAACCTGACTTGCATTGGAAAGCAACAGAATTGGAAAAGAAATGGTATTTCTTTTCAAAATTGTGAAGGCAGAAGAGTCCCACGGGTTGCCTGTGGATATTAAGGAAGAGAAAGAAGTTAAAACGACCCCGTTTTTCTCACTTTGGTTGTTGGAAAGATGATGGCGACCCTGGAGACAGGGTACATGAAAGGCATGAAATATTTAAACTTCTTGCAAATTCCTTTTATGAGATATAAACACAGAAGAAATTTATACTACTGCCTACCGCACAGCGCCATGGGGCACAGGGGTTAACAGTGCTGGGCTCAAGAATCAGACCACCTGTGTTTGAATGCTCGCTCCACCTCTTAATAATCAGCTGTGTGACTTTGGTTGACTAACTTAACTTGCCTGTGTCTCAGTTTCATCATCAGCAAAGTGGGGAGAGCCGTCAGTCCTTCATGGGGTCATAGTGAGGCTTGGTTTGGTTAATACACAAACATCCTGCTAAGCCTAGCTGGTAAATGCCTAAAACACTAATGACATGTCTTGAGCCCAAATGTGTTGTGTTGAGTATCCATATATACTCACACAATTATATGTGTATTTTTATAATATTCGTATAAACAGTTAATTAAAATGTCACTTTTTTCTATTTATTCTCC